CCAACAAACATTTTTTGTAAAGGGCCAGATAGTAAATATTTTAGGCCTTGAGTCTGTCACAACTAAATAACTCTGCCATTATTTTGCAGAAGTAGCCATAGAAAATGTGTAAGTGGGCCAGGCACGGAGGCTCATGCCTATTATCCCAGCACTTTGGGAGGCTGAGGTGCATGGATCACTTGAGGCCAGGAAATCGAGACCAGTCTAGCCAACATAGTGAAACCGCGTCTCTACTAAAAGTACAAAAAAAATTAGCTGGGCTTGGTGGCACAGGCCTATAGTCTTAGCTACTTGGGAGGCTGAGACACCAGAATCGCTTGAACCCAAGAGGTGGAAGTTGCTGTGAGCCAAGATTGAGCCTCTGCACTCTAGCCTGGGCAACAGAGTGACACTCTGTCTCCAAAAAAAAAAAAAATGAAAGTGTGTAAGTGGATGACTCTGGCCATGTTCCATTAAAACTTTATTTATGAACTGAAATTTAAATCTCATAATTTTCACATCGCAAAATACTCTTTTAATTATTTTCCAACTATTTACAAAGTAAAAAAGCATTCTTAGCTTGCAGGCCATACACAAGGAGGTGCCAGGTTGGAATTAGATCCTGCTGACTGTATTCGTGGATCCTTGGCTGAGGATATGGTCAATTTTAAAAAGTATTCTGTACATGCTTGAAATGTGTTTTCTGCAATTGTTGGGTAGAGTATTTTATATGTTTCCGTTATGATGAGTTTGTTAGTTGTCTCGTTCAGATCCTCTGTATTCTTGCTCTTTTCTGGAAAACGTTTTCTTGGAAATATATTAATATTGAAAAGGACACAAATTGTAAGTGTACAGCATGATGGATGTTTTCAAGTGAACACACTTGTGTAATACCACCCCAGATCAAAATAGAGGATATTGCCAGCCCCCAAAATTCTCACTTGTGCCCCATCTCAATCACTAATACAATGAAGAAGTGGCCGCTATTCTGACTTTTGGGCCTGTTGATCCATTTTACTTGATTTTGAACTTTCTGGGAATGGAATTATGTAGTATGAACTTTTTAGTGTCTGTTTCTTTCACTCATCATTGTATTTGAATTATTTTCATGATGTTACATGTAGTTGTGGTTTATTCATTTTCATTACTGTGGAATATTCTGTTGGGTGAATATAACACGGACTTTTAATTTGTTCTCCTCTGGATGGACCTTGTGGCTGTGTTCTGTTTGGTGAATATGTGTAACTTGCCTTTTCATTTTTGTGATGGGCAGAGTTTTAGAAATTTATATAAAGTCCAATGTATTTTCTTTCTTTTATGATTTATGCCTTTTGTACCCTGAAAAATCCTTGCCTATCCTAAGGTCATGGTGATTTTCTCATGTTTTTTTCTAGAAGCTTTATGGTTTTAGCTTTAAGTCTATAATCCTCTCAATTTTTGTGTGTGATATGAGATGAAGGTCGAGGTTCACTTTTCCATATGGCTTTCCAGTTGTTCCAATGTCTTTGTTGAAACAGACCTTTTTCTTCCACCAAACTGATATGCTGCCTTTAGTGCAAATCAATTACCATGTAGGTATGACTCTATTCTTGGACTCTGTATTTTGTTTTATTGAAATATTTGTTTATCCTGGTACTACTATAATGATTTCTTAATTATTATATTTTTATAGTGTGCCTTGAAATTAGGTAATATATGTCTTATTATTATCATCTTGACTAATTTCTGTCTTTTCATTTCCATGTGAACTTAGAAGTATTTGGTACATGTGTATTTTTTAAAAGCTTGCCAGAATTTTGATTGGGTTTTGTTGAATCGATAGCTTAATTTTAGCAGAATTGATATCTTAACAATATTGAAACTTCCAGTCCATGAACATTGTACATCTTTCCATTTATTTAACTTGTCTTTAATTTATCTCATCACTGTTTGGTAGTTTTCAATATAGATGTCTTGCATATTCTTTTATCAAATTTATTCTATTTTGATGCAATTATAAACAATGTTTTTACAGGTCTTTTCCCAATCGCTGGTTGCTAACATTCAGAAATATAATTGATTTGAGGAGTATATTGTTTTCTGAGACTTATCAAAATTCACTCACTAGTTCTAATTAAATTTCTTTGGACTTTTCATATACATAATTGTGTTATCTGTGAATAAAAACAATTTTACTTCTTTCTAACCTTTATGTTCCCTTCGTCTCCCCTACCCTTCTTTCTTTCTCTTAATTTTCTTTATTGTAGTGACTAGGATCTTCAAAAATGTTGAGTAGAAGAGGTCAACATAGAGATCCTTGCCTTTTCAGATCCCTTTTAGAAAACACTTAATCTTTCATCATTAATTATGACACCTTTTTCCCCTTTAAGCTCTCATTAAGTTGAGGTATTTCCCTTCTATTCCTGGTTTGCTGAGCGATTTTGTTCTGTTTTGTTTTTCTAATTATGAATGAATTAAATTTTATTTAATGCTTGTTCTGTATCTGTTAAAGTCATATTGTTTTTATTCTGTATTTTGTCAATGTGGATTTTTGCACAGTGCTAAAATAAATTGCATTGATGGATTTATGAATGTTAAATGAACCTTGAGTTCCAATGGAAAATTCTGCTTGATCAAGATATATTGTCCTTTTTTATCTTGCTGGATTTAATTTACTAAAAATGTATAAAGGATTTTTGCATGATGGCTGAGAGATGTTAGTCCGTAGTTTCCTTATCATGTCAGCTATTTATGGGCAGAGACAGTCTCTCATTCATTATTGTATCCCAAGCCCCTTCACCAGTGCCAACCACAGAAAAGGGGCTTTACAAATAAATAGTTTTTGAGAGAAGTTAAAAGACCTAGGATGGAGACCCACATTCATTAATTTAAATTATTTAAAATATTAATGAATGTAACTCATTTAGCAGGTATTTGCCTTCCAATTGTGTGTCAGGTACAGTGCTACTCAGAAGGGGTTTTCTTCCTCCATCTCTAGCCACTCCTTCTTTTCTAATTGTTTCTCATTTCTCTAAGCTCTAAACATTGGAAAGCCAGAGCATAGAGTCCTTGAGTCTCTTTTCTTGATCTTTTGTTGATGTTATCTGATCTCATGGCTAGAAGCATCATCTCTAAATGAACAGCTCCAACCTAGGCCTTTCCCCTGACTCTAGCATGGTATATCTACACTTGCTGAATACATCATCACTGGATACTTAGCATGTCTGAAGTAGAGCTAATGACCCTCCCTCTCAGTCTTCTCCATTTCAGGAAAAGGTAGCTACAGCCTTCCAATGGCCAGGCTAGAAACTGTGTCATCATCCCTGACACCTCTCTATCTCTCCCATCTCATTAACCATCCTCAACAAATCCTGACAACTCTACCTTCAAAATGTATCTATCACCTTTCTCCACTTTTGCTGCCATTCTGATCCAAGCCATTACCATCTCTTGCCTAGGTTATTCAGTAGTCACCAGCTAGTCTACATAATTCCCCTTTGCAGTTTTCTCAACACAGGTGCGAAAACAATACCTTTGAAATGTAGGTTAGATCATATCCCCTGCTTCCCTAAACTCTCAGGAGGCTTTGATCTTACTCAGAATAGAAATCCAGAACCCTTAAAACTTCCTATAAAGCCCCCTTGTGATCTGCTTGACTTTAGCTCTTAATTCTTCCTTTTACTCGCTTGGCCCCAGCCACGGTGACTTCCTTGCTGTTGCTGAAACACAGTAATTCTACTCCCACCACAAAGCCTGTGCTGTTACTCTGCCTGGAATGTTCTTCCATTAGATCTTCCTATAGCTTGTGGTTCATTCATCACTTTCTTTAGGCCTTTACTGAAATGTCATCCTCTCCTTAAAGCCCTCCCTGGCCATTAGAGCCAACTGGAGACCCCTCCCAAATATAAAGTTCTGTTGCTCTTCCCTGCTTTATTTTTACCTTAGCACTTTTCCTGCCTATCATATATTTTATATGTTTATACTCTTTATTCTCTGAAATCTCCAATAAATTCCAAGCTCAATAAATTCAGGGATTTTTGTACTATTCACTGTTGTTTCCACAGTGAGTAGAACAGTGTCCATCACATAATAAATATTTTCCAAATACATGAATAGGCAAGTAATAAGTGAATGAATATAAGAGTTACATGATCTCGTGGAGCTCATGTAAGAGTTGTAATCTCATGGAGCTTACAATCTCCATATTAGTGAATAAAATTAAAGAAATTCTAATGGGAGAAAAAGGAGAGAAAAGAAATAAATCCAAAAAAGGCAAGTACAGAAACTTGTGAGTTTTCCACATAACAGAAATGGGTTCCGCTAAGAAAAGCCAGTCTCTATTAAAAACAGAAGCCAGGTGTGGTGGTGTGACTGTAATTCCAGCTACTCAGGAGACTGAGGTGGGAGGATGCTTGAGCCCAGAAGTTCCAGGCTGCAATGGGCTGTGATTGTGCCCCTGCACTCCAGGTTGGGTGACAGAAGGAGACCCTGTCCCAAAAAAAAGTAGAAAGAAATGAAGGCAATACAGTATATTGGAAGCAGAGGGGGGAAAGGTCAAGAAGAATGAGGACTGTGTGGGACTTTGTAGTTGTTGACAGGGATCATCATCATCTCCTTTAAGAGTTAATATACATCAGCACCCGTGGCAGGAACGTTACCAATTCCATAACCTGTTTCAGACGGATGCAAGACTAGTGTTGTGCAGTGAAGCATGTCTGTGTATCATGCATAATTCATATGAGGTAGGCACTTAAGAGCAACGCCATTTCTATAAATGACAACAGAAGAGAAAAAACGAATAACCTGGTAAGATTTTGTCGTTGAAAGTTTGGCTGGAGAATGCCTAGTAGAGGAGCATTGTGGAGCAGTCCTGTTTCACTCGATTTGAAAGCCCTGGACCTGTGTCCTGTTAACGTCAGCGTCTGCTCTGTGGGTGACAGCTTACATGCTCATTGCAGGTCTGACATCAGTCAGCTACTCTCATATCTTTGATTTGACTTTTACCAGTTTTTAAAATTTGTTTTTCCATTTCAAATCAACAGGTTCCATTTTTTGGGCCTCTGTTCGATGGAGCCATAGTGAGTGGGAAGCTGCTGCCAAGCCTTGTATGTGCCACGTGCATCAACGCCAGCAGGGCTGTGAAGTGCCTCATCCCACTCTACCAGAGCTTGTATCTTTTTGCTTTAAATATGTAGCTTACTAACCATCCCAGAATCAAGACTCCTGGCAATTTTTCATAAGAGGTAAGTATTCAAAACTGAATTGAAGAGGGAAGAGAATTTTTTTCAGTCTGTGTTAAAAATAACATAGTGTGGTTTTTCATAGCATTTGTTAATTTATATTAAATGTAACAATTTTGTGCTGCATTAAACTTAGAGTTTACTTTCATGATTTACTTACATACGTTTGTGTCTGAGAAGCTGTGACCACTATGAGATGCTCCTGTCTCCTTAGGTATTTTGCCCCACGTTCAGTCTCATCCTGTATCCCTCTTATTTGTGGCAGCCCTTTGTGTATAAGGTGGGATGCTGAGCAAAACGTATTGCTCATTCAGAGTGCCTACCAGAAACCACAGCAAATGAAATGACCCCAATAAATCAAAGAATGTGGCAGGTACCGCATGAGAACTGCAAGTAGGTTTCTGGAAGATCTGAGGAGATAGAAATTGCTTCTGGTTGAGAGGAGAGGGCCGCCTGAGAACTGCAAGTAAGTTTCTGGAAGATCGGAAGAGATAGAAATTGCATCTGGTTGAGAGGAGTGCGAAAGGTGTCCTGAATTAAGTTGCATTTGGACTTATCAATAGGAATAGCTAGACATTCTTTTGTAATCTTCCCAAATCATTGATATTTTCTTCTCTAGTTCCTGATTTTGTTTCCAAAAACAGAATAAATTTCGCTCCTAAAATTTTTTCCTCAAACATTAATTGGCCTGCCGTAATCCTTAAATTCAAGCATGATCTCAAGTTATAAGAAAAAGAGATTAAGATGGGTGACCTCATAAAATTGATGCAAAAAAATTTGTTTGACCTCCTAATAAAACTTAGAATCTCTTTGTTTCTAATTGGCATTGATAATAATTTGAAACGTATTGTGTTTGACCTCTATATATACTTCTCCAAACCTAATAGTAAGTGATGCGTTGCTATAGCGGGTGAGAGTTGGGGGTGGATGAAAACTATCCCATGTGAATAGATACAGTTCATAAAAAAATACCTCTCATTAAAATCCTGGTCACTTCATTGACTGATATTCTGCCTTTAGATTAAAAAAAAATACATATGCCATGTGGCAACTTAAAATTATCATAGAAATGAGTAGTAGAAAAGAGCTATTAGGTCCCATCTGGTCCTTCCCCCGGGGGCCAGGGCAGCATTATTCCCTTCAGTGTACCCTTTCGTGCTTTGTCCAGGCTGGTGGTGAGTGTTTTGGAGATGGCATTCTTTGCAGTGATTTCCACAACACTCTAGTCGTAATCTTATGGCTGATGTCAATTTGGCCTTCAGCATGGAGTTTTTATTTCACATACTGTTAAAAAGAGCCTCTTGGCAGAAATGAGAAGTGATTGGTTTGTCAGTTTGCATGTCACCTAGGACGAGCTGGGCACTCATCAGTCAAGTATGTTGGACCAAGGCACCAAAAAAAATTTTTTTTTATTTTACAAATGAGAAAATTCCATTTTATATTAATTCCATTGTGACTTTTGTCATGTCACCTTCTCTACTTACTGAACTTCTCATTATAAAATACTTGCTTTGTTATTTTGTTTAACATTGCTTTCTCAAATAAGAATGTGATACAATTGGAATAATCAGGTTTAGGGAAAACAGTATTTTTAAAAGTTCAAAGGATACTATTCAGCATCACTTTGAAAACTTTTCAAGCAGTGACACATCAGGACTAATGTGGATACCAGCTTGGGCTACTGATGCTATGGTGTATTAGTAAATATACTCTAACTCACAAAATAGCTAACTTGACATCTCAAACAACAATATAGTACAGAAATTAGGAAAAAGGTTTAAACAACTATTATGTTGATCATTATCAATATTTTAAACTTTTTTTTGTCTTGTACCTGGAGAAAATTTAGTTGATGTTATTCAAATAAATTGTTTAAAACAAGAAATCAACTGTTATACATAATTTTTTATAGAGATGGAGCTAGTGGGGAAAACTGCAATCATTTAACTACTTTTTTCTTTTAATTTCTGTCTGGAGAAGGGCTAATATTCAGGACAGAAATAAGGAATATAATAAGAGAAAAAAATAGAAAACAATAAGGAAAAGGGTTTTTTGGATTTTTACTCTTTAAAAATTACCAATTTTAAGAACTCTGGGCCAGGCGTGGTGGCTCATGCCTGTAATCTCAACATTTGGTAGGCCGAGGTGGGCAGATCACTTGAGGTCAGAAATTTGAGACCAGCCTAGCTAACATAGCAAAACCCTGTCTCTAGTAAAAATACAAAAACATTAGCCAGGCATGGTGGTGCACGCCTGTAGTCCCAGCTAGTCGGGAGGTTGAGGCAGGAGAATTGTTTGAACTCAGGAGGCGGAGGCTGCAGTGAACCAAAATTGCACCACTGCACTGCAGCTTGGGGGGCCACAGAGAGAGACTCTGTCTCAAAAAAAAAAAAAAAAAAAAAATCTACCTAAGCTATTAATAATTATTTCCTTTATGTTTTGTTAAATCCAAGTCCACATATGGTTTGGCAAAAGTCCATTGATTATGTCATACTTTATGTCTGAAATTTGCCGCTTCATTGAGATAAGTCTTAGATTTGAATTTTGAAAACCACTGAATAACTTAACAAATTCCAATTACAGGTGTCTTGTTACATTTATTCATTTTCCAAACAACTACTGTGGACTCACTGTTGCCAAGTCCAGTGCTAAGAGCTGAGGCTACAGCAGGGAGAAAGGTAGACCAGGTGTGTGCCTACATGCTTCACAGAGAAAACGCGCACATTGATAAAAATATACACGAATTGAGAGAAGTTCAGTAAAGAAACTTTTAATAAATAGAGAGTTTGGGTAAAAAAGGGTCAAGGCACAGAAAGGCCTATCCAAGGAGAGAGCATTTGGGCTGAAATTGGAGGGATGAGAGAGACACAGTCCTCAGAGAGTAGGGATGGCGTTCCAGGCAGAGGGTACAAGGACTCAGATTGTTCATGAGTGATAAACTTGCATTTTTCCAGGATTGTATGCATTTTCAAGTTCATCAGGTGTTTATGATGGACCCAAGAGCCAGATTCCAGCAGAGATGGTGTTCTGGTTGATCCCCGAGGAAGTCAAGCTTGCCTAACTCTTTCTGCTCATGCCCACCTTGGAAATTCTCATCTTAGCACAGCATCCAGAGTAAAGTCCAATGTCCCGTCCCGCGGGATCGTCAATGTAGACCCTAGAAGAGGGAGTGGGAACTCGGGGGGGACAAGAGACACGAGAAATGGAGACAAGACAGGATCCTGATCAAGTCTCGTTTATTGGTGGCAGCGTAATGCCTTATATAGATGAGCAGGGGCGGAGGTTGGGCCAGGGCGATGATGGTGGCCCTGCGGTGGGCGTGGCCAGGTCGGTTTCGGTTTCTTCCTCGGAGGTCATGTTGCGCCTGCGCCTTCGGCTGGTAATTTTCCCGGGCGCAGGATGGCGCCTGCGCTGTAAGTTGATCATCTTCCCGGGCGCGGGAAGATGGGTGGTGAAGAACCCGGAAGAGCGCCATTTTGTACTGGCGTATGGGACAGCAGAACAGGGAAGAAAGTAAATCTAGGGAGGAGGCATAGAGTGGAAACGTATAGAGCTCAGGCATCAGTCGTCAGTTATTATCGCTATGGCCGGGCCACCCCGCTCCAGACAGTCCCACAGCTGCCTGATGTCAGGTGCAATAAGTGGGGAGGGAGTGTAGGGCCCACCCCGCCCCCAGCTTATGTAATCTCCCAAGGGCTGAGGAGATCAGCAGTACCTTGGGCACACCTAGAACCAGGGCTGGCTATACAACCTGAGGGTCCCAGTGCACAATGAAAATATAGGGCTTCTTTTTCAAAACATAGGAAAAAATGCCTTTAAAGCCCCTAAAATATAAAGGTTTTCCCATTTGTAATCTCTCAACTTATCATATTTTTTATTTGCTATTTAATGTTATTCTAAGTAAAGAAATGTTAAAAATTTAAATTGTTAGCATTATCTTTATTTATTTATTTATTTATTTATTTATTTATTTTTTATTTTTTTATTTTTTTTGAGATGGAGTCTTGCTCTGTTGCCCAGGCTGGAGTGCAGTGGTGTGATCTCGGCTTACTGCAACCTCCACCTCCTGGCTTCAGGCGATTCTCCTGCCTCAGCCTCCTGAGTAGCTGGGATTGCAGGTGCACGCCACCACACCCAGATAATTTTTTGTATTTTTGGTTGAGATGGGGTTTCACCATGTTGGCCAGGCTGGTCTCGAACTCCTGGCCTCAAGTGACCCACCTCGGCTTCCCAAAGTGCTGGAATTACAGGTGTGAGCCACTGCACTCAGCCCCTAAATTGTTAGGACTATCTTATCACTCATCTCCCATCCAGTACTAGCTGGGCCCGACCCTGCTTAGCTTCTGAGGTCAGACAAGATCAAGCGCGTTTGGGGTGGTATGTTTGCAGACAAACCATTTTTCTTTATATTGTGCAATGCCAGTTTAATATGCAAATATGAGTATTTAGCTTATATATGGAATCACTGAAATTATGCAATTCATATTTCATAGCTTATGCATGCATATATATTTTGTTCCTACCAGAAGAATGGGAACACCACACAAAACCAACTGAGTATTTCACTCTTTATGTGCACATATTCTACCATTAGTCTGTACTATCAGTTTATTGATTAGCAAGAGAGGATTGACAGGAAAAGAGGCTCTGCTTTTTCCTTTCCTTTATTGTCACCATAAGTGGTCAGCTAATAGAGGGAAGTAACACAACTATGAAGAGATATGATAGGGTTCCTTCGTGTTCATGTTTCTTGGGGCACTACTGCTTTCTTTCTGCGTTTTAAGCAAGTTCTGAATCAAGAGAGTGTGACTCCTCAGGGAGTCCGCTCCCGTGAACACTCAACATAAAGGGAACACACTTCCCATGTGCAGATGTTCAGGTTTCGCGCCCATGAAGCCCTGCCTGCAGCCTGTCCCAAAACACCCCAGTA